CTAGTACGCGGAAATGAAGGCTGGCAAAAATGGAGCTTTGATGATCTCCTAAAAGAGCTGAAAAAGTGGAAAGATATCAATCCGATCGAGGAAAAATCAGAGCCAAAAGATCAACTAAAAGGCGGGAAAGGTTCAAGATCGAAGTTTTTCCATGCAAAGGATTCGGGACGCGACACGCGAGAACGAGGTTGTGTGTACTGCGAGGATGCCACGCACAAAGGCACGAACTGCCCAAATGTTGTAACAAGAGAACAACGGAAAAAAATTCTGGCGGAAAAGAGACTATGCTTCAATTGCACAGGAAGTCAACATCGTGCTGTCAACTGTAAAAGCAAACTCGGATGTCAGAAATGTAACAAGAAACACCATACTTCAATCTGTGAGCAATCAGAACAACTCTTAGTGGCTGGAGGCCATATGAACATGCGCGTTACGCACCCAGTGGTTATAGTCGAAGTTGAAGGTGTTAAGTGCAGAGCCCTGCTCGACACCGGGGCAGGCAGTTCCTACGCGTCGGCAGCACTGTTGGATCGCATTCCAAAGCGGCCGTCCAAGAAAGAAATACGAAAAATTGATATGATGCTCGGCGTGACTACGAGGGAAGTCGAATTGTCAAACATTGAAATCAAGGGAACATCGGGTAAATTTTCTATGAAAGTCGAAGTCACCAAGGTGAACAAAGGAGAACTTGTGTTCATGGACAATCCGAGATATCAGAACATGATAGAGCAAAACCCACACTTGAAAGGAGTCATCATGGAAGACATTGATCAGAAAGAGCGACTTCCGGTGCACGTCATTCTCGGAGCAAGTGACTATGCGATGTTGAAAACTGATCAGCCACCCAGAGTTGGTCAACCGGGGCAACCGGTAGTTGAGTTGACACAGTTTGGATGGACCATCATGTCCCCTGGAAACGAATCCTGCAACGTGACCAATATGCTTTTGACTCAGACATCCCAGGCTGATTACGAAGAACTGTGTCGCCTGGATGTCTTGGGTTTGAAAGATACACCCACCAACGACCAGCACAGTGTATTTGACGAGTTCAAAGAACAACTCACCCGGGACCCAGCTGGTTGGTACGAAACAAGGCTACCGTGGCGCGGCAACCATCCTGTATTACCCAACAACGAAGCTAATAGTTTGCGACGATTAGCAAGTTTAACGAACAGACTCGAGCGGCAAGGTTTGACAACCAAATACGGGGAGATAATGGAGGAACAAAAGGCAGAGGGGGTAATTGAGAAAGCTGAACTGCGGAGCGTAGGAAGAGAATTCTACATCCCTCACAAAGCAGTTATTCGACCTGATGCAGAATCCACAAAAATCCGAGTCGTCTATGACGCTTCTGCAAAAGCACATGACGGTGTTCCATCGCTGAATTAGTGTCTACATCCGGGACCTCCATTGCAAAATAGAATGTGGGATGTGTTAGTTAGAGGACCGTTTCATCCAGTGGCTCTGACGGGTGACTTGCAAAAGGCCTTTTTGCAAGTACGTATTCGCGAAAACGACCGAGACGCGCTTCGATTTCACTGGCGGAAAGATCAGCAATCAGAACTAGAGACCTTGAGATTTACCAGGGCACTTTTCGGGCTTGTATCATCTCCTTTCTTGTTGGGGGGAGTCATTGATGCACACCTGAGTAACTGGGAAGAAAGAGAACCGGAAGTAGTAGCAAAACGTCGTGAAGAGTTGTACGTGGACGATTTGATAACGGGGTCAACATCAGTATCGGAAACGGAAGAAGTTAAAGACAAAGCAACAACTATTTTCGAGGATGCGGGGTTTAAGCTTCACAAATGGCACTCGAATGAGCGTGAATTAGAGACGACACAGTCTCAAGACGGTGATCCTACCTATGCAAAACAGCAGTTAGGGACCCCAGAAGGGGGAGATAATAGCATGCTCGGACTTGCGTGGAATAAAGAACGAGATACAGTTCACCGTGCAGCATGTGACACCAAGAACGCCTGGGATGCACCACTTTCAGAAACCCTCGCAAAGTTGTTGAACAAGTGGAACAGTGAACTTCCAGCACAAGTGGAAACTGAGAGATCTTTGGCAGTTTATCAAGAGCAAACTGAAGCCATCCAACTGCATTCCTTTGGAGATACGAGCGGTAACGGGGTTGCGGCGTGTGTCTATGCCGTAGTTGAGCAAGATTCGGGGACCAACCAAGGCCTAGTCGCGGCGAGATCAAGACTACCGAAGCGAGGATTAACGATTCCGAAGCTTGAACTAGTAGCGGCGCATATGGCAGTCAACTTGGCTTCAAATGTAAAGGAGGCATTGATCGGATTTCCGGTTACGAAAGTTCAATGTTGGTCGGACAGCTCGGTAGTTCTGCATTGGATTACGTTGGACGGGCAATTCGAAAGGATGATTGGGCTCGTGAAAGCAGCGTTAAGCAAGACCATTGGAAACAGTTTCCTACGATGGAACGAGTTAGAGGAAGTATTGCTTGATGTCAAGGTGGCGGTAAATAACCGTCCATTATCTTACGTGGAGGATGACGTGCAATTTCCAGTGTTAACGCCAAATTCGATGTTGTTTCTGAATAGTAATATTTTACCCGAATTGCAACCACATAATATTGAGGACGGTGACCTTAGAAAACGAGCGAAACACTTGATGAAATGCAAAGAAGCGCTTTGGAGATGGTGGACCCAGGAATATTTGCGTGGCCTTCGTGAGAGACATCGTTCGAAAGCGGAATGTAGTGGAGCAGTGCCAACGGTCGGAGACGTAGTGATTATTGCGACAGATGAGAGAAAACGTGGTCGTTGGCCGTTAGGAATTGTCGAAGCGCTGATTGTGGGAAAAGATGGAAAAATCAGGGGAACTAAAGTACGTACAGGAAAGTCTCAAATTGAGCTCTCGGTCGACAAGAAAGAACCAGTACCGGCAATACTCAACCCGAAAGCGGAGACATTTAGACCGAAGCGGGATGCTGCAGTAGGGGCCAAATCGCGGAGGATGAACAATAAACTTAATTTCAAGTGAACATTTGGACACTGAACTGTGAACAGTCAGAACAATTTAGAAATATACTAAGGTTGACATTTAGTACAGTTGTATCATTGGTCAATCTCCAGGTGTATTGGACGACATTTATCTCAAATAGTAGATAAATGGGGGGAGAGTGTTGGAGATTGTCAATATTTAATATTTAACAGTTTATGGCATACCTGAAGTTAATTAATGCGAAAGTGTCAATCAAAAAGCATGCGGTTTGTACATTGCAAGAATTTGTGTGATTGTGTTGAGACGGGGCGAGAATAAATATATTTTTCATAAAAGCGTTTGAAATCTCTACTTTTAGTGAGTTGTTGTGAATATAGGAGGCAATTCACGACATCACTGACACAACCTGTATAGGACGTACTGACGGAACAGCATAGTAATATTCAACACAACAAATGAACCACGTCCACATGTGTAAAAAACTTAGCACAATCAATGTTTTATTCTCCTTACCGCTAACTCCTTGCGGCGTCTTTGGAGTTCCGTCACAGTGGTGGGTGTTTGGATTATAAGGAGGAGATCTGATGTTTTCCTCTTGGACATGGAGAAATTGGTTCCAATAATCAGCCGGCATCGACAACAGTTTCTCCACAATCTAAAAAGAGTTCAGTGCTATGAAATCATGCTGGAATAAGAAACGACAAACTAACAAGGGTGATCTAAAGATAAACTAACAAGAGTAATCTGCCTTCATTTTACAAGGGAGGATACTGAGCGGTAGTGATGGGCGGCAGACCAAGGGGGTGGCAGGTTGTAGAATCTAAGGGCAGTTTCCATTAACACGGCCAGACCGGTCAAATTGTTGAATGGAACACAAAACGTTTGAATGATATTGTAATTTCCTTCATTGACCAAGGCTAAAGGTAGTGCGTATCCCCTTTCTCCCAGACGTACCACTTACTTTTTCCATCCCTGCAAACAATGGTACCGTAACTAGATTTATCTACATACCTTTGGTTGAACTTTGGCTTCGCTCAACATCTGCACGGGCTCAGGGTGAGGACTGCTATAGCCGACCAATGTTGGAGCAAATACTTTGGCGATGTTGCCAACGGGCATTTTACATTCACGACTTTGTGCAACCCTATATCATCGAGATAAAAGACATGTACGTTTCAGTTTATATACCCAGGTGTTGCATGTTATACATTTACCGGATGTACGCCAATATTACGGTCTGCATGGTACTGTTTTCGGCCAAGGCACATACACGCGGTAAAGTCAGACATGACTTGGCAAGTAATTGGCATGAAACATGATTGGACTGTATGTATTTGTATATTGCAACTGTGCTCCTAATTGTTGTAACTCGTAGCTTCAGGTTACTGAATGGAAAACTTTCGGAAACCTGTACTTTGCAGTATGCACTTATTTTTTATACACTGAATGGCTTCCTGTTGGCTTTTGACTGACAATCTGGCGCCTAACTTTAGCACTCGCGGTTTTTATACTGTTTTTAGTAATGATCATTGCAAGTTGCATGGAACATATTGCTTGGTGTAACATCCCTTGCAATGCTAACATTGCGAGACAAGTTGCTTACTGTAACAACGCCTTAATTTTAAGTATACCTTGCGTTTTAAGCACCAGCCAAACAAGTACGGGGCAATGGGGGGACGGACGGACAGGAGGGTGCTACGTTCGAGACTCTGCTGTATCAGCTGAATATATAGAAAGACGATTAGTAAGGGAAGATTTCCACCGACAGAGAGATATTTCCTAGTCAAAATATTTCGCTTGATTTCTTTTGAATTGTCTACTTGACCGCTCACAATTAAAAAGAAATAGACCTTATGCATAATTACGTCAGTCATGATGCGCGCGGGGAATTCGCCTACGACAGTGGCCATGTCGGATGGTTTTCCCACCATTGACTACCAAGACCAGAACTCCTCGCGCGCAAAAGGTCAAGCGAAAATTTTCGACAGCGAAATTTTCTTGCACGTGCAAATCTAGCTCAAGATGCAACAAAGAAAGTTTACAGCCAGACTAAGCCTAACTTACTTTTGTAAATGAACCATGAGATAGGCCAGTGTGTCTCGGTTCGCTGGAGGTAGTTCACTGACTGCTTGGAATATCAACGCATCGTCATCGTCCGCTTTTTCTATTTATAAAAATGAAGAATCAGACGATTAGAAATTATCATGCTGATACATACTTCTACACTTGAATTTATGTTATTTTATAATATATTGCACAATAACTAGGGATGTGCCGGAAATGGTATCGGGCAAAAATGGGCATCCGGCAGTATCCTGTATCTGGTAAAATTACATAGGACAGATATTTATCGCATAACACTGGATAACTGGAACTTTTATTTGAACCATGAAACCGAAAAAATGTTTCCTCTGTCTTTTTCGTTTGTTACTGAGAAATTGTGAAACAGGAACAATTACTGCATACATTAAAAACATGCAGACATGTTTTTGAGATGCAAACTGCTTTCTGTTCTGATTGCCCACAGACGCCTGTGCCACAGATATTTATACTTACCGTATCATATAAAAAGATTAAGCGCATAATTAAACAATAGACAATGTTATGGGAAAAACTAGTGAAGTATTGACCAAGTACCCGGTTATCATTTTTTCCTGACCGGTATATCTGGTAGACTGCCATCTGGTAATATCCGACAAAACAGTATCCGGCCAACCAATAATTTCCGAAAACCTTCGATTGATTGCTGAATAATTGTGTAACAAAAAGCTGTGACTGTGTGACAATTATTTTTCGACCATGAGAACACGGTAGGCTATAGATTAAGCAATATATTGCACGAGGTATAATGCAAAAAAGTTTAAGAACTAAGATTTCCAACAACAAAAGGTGGTCATATGATAGCAACCAAACTCATGCTAGCAAGATTACAGACATAATCCATGCTAGCAAGATTACGGTATTTTGTTTTCTTCGTAGTACCTGCTTACTAATTCAGCTAAAAGTTAAATAAGGTTTTTTAACAACCAGTTTCATTTGCCAGCCAGAAGTGGTTCTTGTATTTTGGGTGCTTATTTGCCCAAATTTCAGGCTGGTGGTTCTTAACCCACTGGTTCTTTTTACTGTACTGGACGATGTTCCACAATATTGAATGAAAATTTTAAAGAAGTCAAACCCGATCCAACCATCTTCCAACACCAGTCAACATAGTGTTCAAACGAGGCCAACATGTTGGATCGAACAATGTTGGATGATTTTGGGCCAAGATGCTGGTCTCCTTTGAACTGGCCTTTCAAAGTGATCAAAAAGCCATCTGGACGGTTAACTATACACGAGTGTCTAGAACAACATGGGACTTACCAGCAGCTTCCAAAAACCGTTTATGCAAGGCATAAGTTAGAAGTGGTTCTGATAATTGTTTAAGGAACGACTTTAAGGTGCCACATATCACATTTTCATCGCTTTCTTTAGTCTAAAGACAAATAAGAGATTGTTTCTTCATTGAACTCTTGCAAAAAGAGACCTTGATTTAAAAATATGTTACTTACCAAATCAGGGGAACCTTTTCCTTTTAAGAATTCTGCTTTCAACTCACGGACACGAGTTTCTGTCCTAAAAAGAAATATAGAAGGTATGTTTTGAAATAAATATCAGGATTTTCTCACTCGATAGAACTAAATGTTGAAGGGTTTTAAGTAGATGGAAATGTGAATTGAACGTAAATTTGACCCATTTTTAGACCTAACCTAGACTTGCTCCAAGTCTCTCTTTCATTGTCATATCGATCCACTATAGTGTACATTACATGACGTAGCACGGAGAGGCGGAGCGAGAAAGAGAGACTTGTCAAGTTCGGAAAATCTCGGTTCAAAACTGAACCGAAAATGCAAGACTTGCTTTAATTGTTTCCTTCAATTTCTTTCTGTATTATTTACTATAATGGAACTCATGTTATTTACATTGTGTTATATCAATACATATAAACACTGACAGAAAACAATTAAAGCAAGTCTTGCATTTTCGGTTCAGTTTTGAACCGAGATTTTCCGAAGTTGACAAGTCTCTCTTTCTCGCTCCGTCCCTCCGTACTACGTCATGTAATGTACACTATAGTGGATCGATACTATATGACAATGAAAGAGAGACTTGGAGCAAGTCTACACCTAACCAGGAGCAGGCACTTGACTGATACAATTCACTTAATATTTCAATCTCATGCAATCCAAGTATTTAACCTACCCTGGAACTCTGTACAATCCAACTTGATTCAAGCCTCGACGTTCAAGCTCTTGAACGCATCGAAGCTACAAAATTATTTTAAGAAACGTAGATTCAATTATTATATCTAGAATTAGAAACACGTACACATTTTAACGACATTTACTGTACATAATTAGGTTAATGCAAATTATTAAATGTTGTTAAAAGACATTGGCTCATTCAAACGAACTCTTAAAATTATATATTAAACTCCATTACCGATTTGTCATATCTTGCTTAGTTCTCAAAACATTTAGACCGAAATTAATGAGCTGTGCCATCTTGGACTACTTCTTGACCTCACGGTTTTGATGACGTCAGGAGTTTGGTTAACCATATAAAACTACTCTAAAATGACCGAGTAACAATCCAAAATTGTTTGAAATGTTTTTAATCATTTCTAAATTTCAGACAGCGAGCAGAAACGGTTTTGACCAATATTGATCGCTTACTCTCGAGATAAAAAAATAGCGCCACCCCTCTCTTGACGTAGCATGCATATAACTTATATAAGATATAAAATATCTGTAATAGAATTTAATATGTAGTTTTAAGAGTTCTTTCAAATGAACTAAACTAATTTTTCTGGCCAATGTCCTTTAGCAAATACTGGGGAAGTGGATAGTGCTTTTCGTGCGATTTGATTAGTTGCTCAATTCCGAAATTCCTTGCCTTACGCAGCTCTGGACAAAAACAAAGTGGCTCGGAAGCTACAATACAAATTGTTGGGTTTTTTGTTGTTTTTGTTTTGTTGTCCTTCACCTACACATTCACCTCCACTTCCGTAAATAATTTAATGTCAACTACAGGGATGGATCCAGCATTATCTGGTAGGGGGTGCTCTGCCAGCTCTGGTGCCGAGTTGTTGTCGGTCATGTTTGTCGCCCGCCCATCAACTTGCTTAGTACTACTGCAAAGTTTTGCTTGACTACAGTATTTGAATTGTAATTGTTGTTCATAGTTTGCTTATTATCATCATGTTATTACTCAAATTACTGTATCTCATTTCGCCTTTAATAATTTTTTGCTTTATCATGAAAAATAGCACACTCCCCTGCACCCCCTCTGGCCAGGGCTAGGGGGTGCACCCCCCCCCCCCC